GAACAAACACAAGAAGAAATGTTCAAAATGCCTAGCTCTAAAAGAGATGCAAATCAAAACAACTATGAAATATCATCTCACCCCAGTAGAATAGCAAAATTTAACAGAACAGCAAACAACAAATGGTGGCGAGGTCGCAGGGAAACTGAAACCCTTATTCCCTGTTGGTGGGAGTATAAAATGATGGTACCACTATGGAAGGTGGTATGGCACTTTCTCAAAAAGTTGGAAATAGGAATACCATTTGACCCAGCAGTTCCCCTACTGGGAATATACCCTAAAGAAACAAGAACTTCCACCTAAGCAGACATATGCACACCCATGTTTATTGCTCCTTTGTTCACAACAGCAAAGAGTTGAAAACAACCCAAGCGCCCATCAACAAATGAATGGATAGAGAAGTTGTGGTATATTCACACAATGGAATATTATGCAGCACCAAAAAACAAAGAACTAATGAAATATTATACAAAATGGGTGACCATGGAGTACATTATGCTGAGTGAAATATCTCAACCACTTATAGACACATACTGTGTAGTGCCCCTGTTATCAAACAGGACTGATATGGGGGTTGGGAGTAAATTAAGAAGGGACAAATAATGTACATGGAATTGAAATGGATGTGGGAGAGAACTATATAAAAGGAATATATTATTAGGTTTTATTGGCATGAAAAACATCCAGAATAAGAGCTGCACAGTAAATTGTTTTGTTGGGGGTGAATGTATAACAATGAAAGAACTTTTTTCCCCCAAAGAAGAAAGTGAACTGGTGTGGAGGTGTGGGCCGGGAGGAAAATGTGTAACAATGAATGAATGGAAATACAAGTTCTTTATAAACTTTCATTAAAAGTTCAATAAAAAATTAAAAAAGAAATTCAACCAGATAGAATGAAAAACCCATTATCTGCTCAGTAGTTGGCTATAGAAATTAGAGAAATTATCACGGTTTGAAAAATTTACAAACCTTAAAAAAATCCTTTGGTTCTTACTAGATTCTCTCTACTAAGATGGCGTGTAACATAGGTATAACAAATTAAAGGATAAAGGCAAAAATAAAGAGATTCAACAGGAAATAGAAACTTTAAAAAACAAATTTCAAATTAAAAAAAAATGCTATGGGTAGAGTATTGAATGATCTAGGAATCATTAAAAGAAGATGGAAAAAGTACACAGATTCACTTTATCAAAAAGAATTGGCTGATACAGAAGCTAAGATTAATAGAAGGCTACTTATGAAAATCCTCAGGTCAGTGTATTCCTAAATGTTTAACCATTTGTGTAAGTCCATACTTTCTATAAATAGCTCCATTTGTAGCTTATTTACCCAATACTTCTATGTCTTATAGGTTCGAAAATATGCTAGGTCCTCTAGGAACTTAGACCCCTCAGGGGAATGACTCAAGTGACTGTAGGTATGCAGGCTGGTTTTGTTTTGGTTTTGGTTTGTTTTTTTGGTAGAAACTGATGAGCAATGGGCCAGGCTGGATGCAACAGGAAGCTTAAACACAGTCATGCTGCCTTTCATTTGGTTGGTTTCATTTCTGTTGGTGTTTTCAAATATCCTCTAGTGTGGAGACAGCTCTCTTTATATTATTGCTTCAGGTGTTGATGATTAGCAAGGCCAGTTTGATTTGCAAGACCATGTGTCTGCAGTTAAGGTAACTGGAGACCAGAGGTGCTAACCAATGGCTAAAAAAAGTAAACTTTTAGGCTAATTCCACATTTCTCATTCTCAAAATAGGTGATCCAACAGACTGTGCAAGTTATTGAACAATATCACTAATGTCACATGCAAGCAGAATCCTGATAGAGATTACTTAAAAGGGACTGGAACAGTATCAACAGAGAACCAGATATACTAGCTGGATTTAGATGAGACCATAGTAGTAGTGACATCATCACCAGTATCAGATGGATCTAGGCTGAAAGCAGAGAATACCAGAAGAATGTTTATCTGCGTTTCATTGGCTTTTCAAAGGCATTTGACTGTGTGAATCACAACAAATTTTGGCTAACCTTGAGAAGAATGGGAATCCCAGGACACCTGATTGTGCTCATATGAGACCTATACTTGGACCAGGAAGCAGTCATCAAAACAGAGCAAGGAAACAATGCATGGTTCAAAATCAGTAAAGTAGTATGTCAGTGATGCATCTTGTCTTCATACCCTTTCAATCTATATGTAGAACACATTTGGGAGGCTTGACTTTATGAGGAGTATGGTGTCAGGATTGGAGGAAGACTATCAACAACTTGCATTATACTGATGACACAACCTTGCTTGCTGAAACTGAGGACTTGACACATTTGCTACAGATTATCTAGAACTATACTATTCAATTGAAGCTCCATATCAAGAAAACAAAGATTTTCATCACTGAGCCAATTGGCAGCACCATGAGAGATGGAGAAGAAATTGATATTGTTAACAATTTTAGCTTGCTTGGCTTCACAATAAACATTCTTGGTAGCAGTAGTCGAGAAATAAAAAAATTAAATGCATTAGAAAACCTGCTGTCGGTGACCCCTCCAGAGTGCCAAAGAGCAATGATGTTACTTTAGAGATTGAGGTGCACCTGACCCAAGCCATGATCTTCTCGATTACTTGCTGTGCATCAGAGAACTGGACAATGACCAAAGATGACAGAAGAATTGATGCCTTTGAGTTTAGTACTAGAGAAGAGTATTGAGTATAACATGGACTGCCAACTGAACAAGAAAATCTGTCCTGAAGAAGGTAAAAACAAGCTACTTTTTGGAGGTAAGTATTTTGAAGCTCTGTTTCACATACTTTGGATGTGTTAATAGGAAGGACCAGTCCTTGGAGAAGGACATTATGCCTGGAAGGGTGGAGTGACAGAACAAGAAAGGAAGACCCCATATAAGATGGATTGACACAGTAATGGGGGTACTGGGGGTAGAGGTATCAGAGACAGTGAGATTGGCTCAGAATAGAGAAGCGTTCAGAGTTATTGTGTGTAGGGTCACTATGAGTCATAGTTTACTCCACTGCACATAACAACAACAACAACAACTATATATATATATATATATACACACACACACATATCTATACACACACACATATTTGTGTATATACACACACTCATGCAGAGAACAGATATGACTAGTTATACCTATAAACACATTTGTTTAATAATATTAACGATAGCTTTATTTACAGGGTGCAAAGACTGGAAACAGCACAAAGGTGAATAACTAGAAAACTGATAAAGTAAATGACATTTAGAAAATGAAAGCTATAAAATATTTTTTAAAAGCAATCAATACATATTGATCAGAAACTAGTGTACTTAGCAAGAGGGCAGACACAGGGGTAATCCAAAGAGAAAGAAAGAAAATAGATAGCATTAGATTAGGACATAAAAAGAGATATTCGAAGACAGCAGCAATATTGTTATTTTTTTGAAAAGGACAACTTAGATGTGTAGATGTATTTATTAAGAAATTTTATGTTTTACAGAAATACTGGAAATATTCTTTATATAAATATATATACTATTAAAACAATAATTAAATAATTAAAACAAATTGATTTTTGTTGAAGTTAAATTAGAAAAGTTTAATTTAGCAAAATGATTTAAAAGAGAAAAAGGAAGAACCCATATTTGAACCCACTAATCTTGATGTCCTTAACCAAAATATAGGAAGAGAATTGCTTACCTCACACCCCAGTCCAGCTTCAAGACAGGTGACTTCATCCATCAACTTCAGCAGCTCCTGAAACCGAGCATCATCGTACTCAAAGCGCTCCCCAAAGGTAACGGAGCATATGATATTGGAAACGGCATTGTTGATCTTAAAGTGAGGGTTAAAAGGCTGTCCTGGAGGCAGAAGGAGGAAGAGAATGAGGCTTCAGATCAATTTGTTTCTGCTTTATAAGGAAAGTCTACTCTGTATGACATATACCGAACTACCCATGAGGTTCTGACCACAGCAAAGCCTATCTTTTTAATTAATATCTGTCTTTTTATAGTGAATTCTATGAGAGCAGGGCCTGTGGTTAGCTACTTATAATTAAATCTTTAGTGCTTAGAACAGGGATAACCACAAGAGAGAAGCCTAAATATTTAATACATGTAATAGCTACCGTTTCCATGAATGAACAAACTTCTGTAGCTTTCCTATGAAGCCCTCACCTTTCTTCCTCTTCTCTTGTCTTAAGAAGGAAAATGATAGAAGAGATTCTTCAGATTGAATTGTTCTTCTTTCTAAGGAAAGTCTACTCTGTGCGACATATGACAGCCTCATAGGAGTCTCATTTATGAGGCACCCTGCACAGAATCTGATGCGTTCTGAGGCAGCGCTTGTGGCGGAGCCACATTTATGGTCAGGGATTAAATTCAGTACTGGATTTAAGGCCTGTCTTCCCCCCCCCCCCCCCTTATGATCAATTCTGTAAGACGGAATTCGTCGTTGGTCACTGTTACCACTTTAGTGCTAAGCACAGTGATAGCCACAAGAGGGAAGCCTAGGCACATATCAAGGATCTCTTCCTCCAGGCTCTAACAGCTTTCCTAGGAAATGCTCACCCTTCTCCTCTTGTATTTTTTCAACAAGGTGGTGGGCCTCCTCCTGAATGCGTTCTTCTAAGCTCTTCTTTCCTAAACCAAAGTTCCTAAGTGTCATCAGGGCAAACCGTCTTTGCTCCTTCCACTCCTGGCCACTGGACATGACCAATCCTGTGGAAGAAAAAAACCCCAAACCCATTATTGTGCTATTCTGATTCTGTAATGTGAACATTTAGAAAATGATACGGGAACAGAGAGAAGTAAAGGGAAATTAAGTATTTAAAACCTATTCAGAGAAATCATCCTAAAGCCAAAAATATATGACTAACATTTACTGAAGCCTGGAAGCCGGAGCAGCATCCACTTCCAAAATGGCTTGCCTCCGGAAACTCTATGTATGAACAGTGCTCAGGCCTTTCATTCATAGGGTCGCTATGAGTCGTCTACTACTTGACGGCACCTAACAACAACAACAACGACATAGAGAGAGGTACGCTGACCTAGTGGACAGAAATTTATGCTACCAAGCCGAAGGTGGGTGATTTTAATCTGCAGCCCTCGGGCCAGGTTCAAATTGTTTTCCTGTCAAACATTCTTCTAGGTGGTATAGCACTGGTCTGTGCATTGCGGTACAGAGGTAACTTGTGGTTGCTGTGATGCTGAACACTGGGACAGTGATGTGCCAAACATGGCAATGGTCACCCATGGTGGACAATGTTTGCTGGAGCTTCCTGACTAAAACAAACCTGGGAGCGGGAGTGGCATCCACTTCTGAAATGGTGTATCATCCCCATTTTATTGATGAGAAGACTGAGGCATAGAACTTTGCAAAGTCACCATCAGGCTGACCTTGGTATTCGTCCATGTATTGATCATTAATTACATCAGCATGTATAAGAGCTTGTTTTGTCAAATACTTCTCCATGTTCTTAAAGAATCAGGAAAGGATTTTAACAGATGTCTATCTAAGATGTGATATGTTATATAAAATACACTTTCCTTAGAAAGGAAAGCAAATCAAGCTGAAGACTCCTTCTCTTACGTCTCCTGCCCGCCACCTTCTCAAGGCAAGAGAAGAGGAGAAAAGTGAGGATTTCATAGGAGAGCTATAGGAGTCTGTGGCTCAATCATTCATAGAAAGGGGAATTATTAAGTATTTTAAGTGTCTAAATTTCTCTCTTGTGATTTTCACAATTATTGCTGTGTCTTCTTCTTTTAAAAGATGAAAGAATGACTAAAGAATCTAGCCAGAGGTATTCCATTCAGAAAGAAGAACAGCAAATGCAAAGGGAGGGGAAAAAAAATCTCACTGCTTTCAACAGATAGCTGTTTATGTCATGGGGAATGGATATGACACTCCTTTCCATTTCTTCACTTCCAGAGCACTGCATTCCTTTATTACCTGACTTTTACCTTTACTATCTCCTGTCTGCACTAGAATGACACCCCAGCCCCCCCCGACCCCATTGTCAAATCCAATGTTTCTTGCTTATCTTTTATCAAATCCTAAAAATACAGAGTTCCTTAAGATAAGGTCTCAAACTTCTCCTCACTTTTTATTCCATTTCAGAGAAATTTTTTCATCTCCTAAAATTCTCAATAACATTTCTACCCCTGGGTTCCAGATCCATATGGATACAACAGGCTTGACTTTAAGCACTTAACACTAAAAAACCCCCACACAACTTTCTTTGTTCTGTTCTGACAATAGCTTTTTGGTTTATGAAGATGTTTTACAAAAGCACAATTAAGCTAGTTTCTCCTAAATACCTTTACCAAATATAATGTCTCTAATAATAACAACACACTGCGCTGACCTTAATAACATTTGAGGATTTAAGTTAGAATTAATTGGCAAGGTGTATTTCTTTGAGTAGAATTTAAGTTACCTAAAGACAGGAATTTCATCATTTCATCTCATTGTTACATCCCTATGTAACTAAAAAATATACAGAATGGAGAAAATATATCAAATAACAAGGAAGGATTGGGGCATGGGGATGATGCTTTGGTAGAATAATATACTGAAAATTTTCATTTCTACTTTTAAATATTTATGTCTACTTAGTGGCATCCACTTTCTAAACAACATGCCTCTTGAAACTCTATGAACTTTGATAAATGTCGATAGTTACAGAGGGGCTTCAGGCCTTTTGTTCATGGGGTTGCTATAAGTTGTACTTGACTCAACGGCAATCAACAACAGTAACAATTAATACTAACATAACATATTCATGTTAACCTTTTCTGATGTGTCTTGGGTTGTGATTGACTGGATGACTTGAGATTCCCTGTCTTGTCATGACTTTAATGATGAAGCGTATGGAGCTGGAGGCAAGGCGAAGGAAGCTGATCAGCAGTAGATTCACATCCATTTTCTGTTGGGAAGACGTTTGGAATGGAAAGCAGAAAGAAGAGAAGGTATTTCCTCTCCCTGTGCTCTCACAGTTTTAATTGATTATCAAACATACAGAGAGAATTTCTGCAGGAGGTACAGCTTCTCCCAAACCCCTGTCTTTAGGATTGAGGATGCCAAATCTTCTTTGTTTTATTGTTGTTAAGTATCATCAAGTCAGAATTGACTCATAGGAGGTTACACATCCTCTCAGTGTTGTTGCTATGTGCCTTCGAGTTGGAACCAAACCATAGCTGACCCTCCAGTGGATTTTGAGAGGCTGTATGTATATTCCACAGGAAGAGATTTCCCTTCTTCCCTTCTGAGCAGCTGGTGAACTCCAACCGTTTTCCTTCAGATTGGCAGCTTAATTCTTTGCCACTAGGCTCCCTACACCTTCTCAGTTATTGTTGTTGTGTCTTGTTGAATTGGAACAGACTCATGGCTTAACCTCCAGCAGGTTTTCAGAGTAATTTAGAAGTAAATTGCATGGGAGGAGATTGTCCAACCTTCTCCCGTGGAGCAACTGGTGGATTTGAAATGTGCCTTTGGGATTGCAGCACAGATTCTTCTTACCACTAGGCCACCAGAGCTCTCTACACCATCTTGGTAGGTGCATTAAATTAAGATGTGAACATTCAGCTCCCTTCAGTGGCAGGGAGTTTATAAGAAGCCCGGTCTCAATGATTGGAGATTTGTCACCAGGCAGGCACTTTTAACATCCAAAACCAACATCAAGGAAATAAACCTTAAATTCAAGAAACTTACCATATTTCTTAAAGATGCGTTGTCGGACAGCAGACACAGGGCGGCTCAGAATGGCTTGGTCTGGGTGTGTAAGGACCTCTTTGATCAAGGGCAATCCGGTTACAATAACGCTATGAAAGTGACCGATACTCAAGCTAAACAGGTTTCCATATTTCTTCACAAACTGAAAAAGAGTTCGCTACAGTTGAGTATAAATCTGTGTGTCCAGGCATGAAAGATGTGGGTAAGTGAGTAATAAATAGTAGCAAAGGCTTGCACTGGTGTGTGTGTGTGTGTGTGTGTGTGTGTGTGTGTGTGTGTGTGTTTTAGCCAAGTGACTAACTAGAAGTATTCATTCTATAACATTTTATAGGTTTTTCTGTTGCTATTCAGCAAACTCGTCTACCCTTCTATGTCTTGTTTCACGTTCTGGAAAATATAGGCTTCAAAGTTTTATTACTACAAACACGTTCAGTTTAAAAAATACAATTGAAATCAATGTCCTACAGGATTGGGAAATTATTTTTGAAACATTTGGTAAAATTCAGCCTACATATATCTGGTAAACATATACACCTACAATGAACCACTGAGGGCATAACTGTGATGAGATACACAAGATTTTTCAAGTTTGCAGTGAAAAGGAAGGAAGTAATTCAGTATAATGGACCCATGAAGAGAGCTGAGTTATGGTTACCCTAGATTTTCTTCAGCAAACATTAATTCTTAGTAAACCAGAATCTTAGTTTAACTAGAAGACAATAAAAGAATGTTGAAGTCTATCTTAACAGATGTCAGAAAGGCCTAGTCTTGGACCAGGGAGGGAGAAAAGCATTCTAGGTCTGTAGTTACCCATGAACCTAGGCTCTGTATTTCGCTAGTGGTGGGTTGCTGGGTAAGCATCTTCACTTTCTTTGAACTCTTCAAGTATAAAATAAATGGGATGACTATTCTCCCCTCAATGACTAAACTGAAGATTGAAAGCAGCAATAAGGAAAAACCATTTACTTTTCTGGGACCTGGAGCTTAATCAGTTTTCTTGTCACTTTGCTAATTTAAAGATCAATATAACAACACTGTAGTTTTAAAATGTCAAAGTCTGTCGATGAAGCCCAACTAGACAGAGCAGCTGTAACACATAGCAAAGGATGACATGTGCTATAATGCAGACAGAAACAGACACGAAATCATCTCAAGAAGAGATGAGTTTGCACGCTAGATTTTGTAGATAACTTTTCAAAGGAGTTTAGCCATTTTAGCCAGATCTAAAATAAAGGCCAAAATGCCAGCAAAGACATTTTTGGCTATGAACAGAACTTGAAAGAAGAGCTGACCACTAAATGAAAAAAGAGATAAAGCCATAAATAGAATCAGAGACTTTAATATCTTTTTATCAGTAATTAATAAAATCAGTAGATATTTAGGATACAGAAGCATTAAACAATAGCATCACATAACAGGATCTATTTGACAATAAAATACTCTTATCACTGGCAAGAGCATATATATATATTCAAACATACAGAGGACATTTTCCAAGACAGAACATACTTTGGCTTCTATATATTTCATACAGCTGAAATCATCCAAAGTATATTCTCTGACCAAGTTAAGAGAGCACACTGAGTATCAATGGAAAGATAGCAGGGAAACGTCCTCAGGACTGAAACAACACACTTTCGAAATAAGAAGACGACGTGTTTAGGGCACTAGCTTCAAAATTATGTAACTAATCCGGTTGTCTAGCATTAGCAATTGAATGCTTGACTGTTGAGCATGATGTAATTTCTCACGTGTACTTGAGTAATAGAGACATGTGTTTACAGGAGTCTGGCATTTGGGGAAAGGAAACAAATCCTTACTGAGCACCCTATTAATGTTGGTTGGTCGTTAATTACCTTATTTATTTAATCTTCATAACCACCTGTCATAGTTCTTTCAGCCAGGTCCTCACTACCTGAGGATATATAAGCTGAGGATTCCTGACAGCTGTTGTTGGAGGAAATACGAAGGAACTTAGAGCAGCTGGAGTTAGTGAGGGATGAGAAGGAGGGGGTGGGATTAGGATGAACCAAGAAAAACCATAATGCTTTCAGGAGGAATCTGGTCTTTCGGGGGGAGGGAATAAGCAAAGAAATGATATTTTAAAATTATTACTTTAGTGATAATGAACTGCAGAAGGAGAAAAATAGAAAAAAGGATCTCTGTCAGGGTGGTGGTGACAGCAATCTACTTGAAAACATGGTGAGGATTCTTGGCTACATGACCATTTTGCATGTAGGACTTGAAGATTCCAAGAAGCAAAACACAGCATTTTCCCAGTATAATATATTAACGATGATAAGGCAACAGCATTATAAGAAGTATTGCAGTGTTTGCAGTTTTTAACAGCACATGGGTAAAGGTGTCTAGCACACATTTAATGATAGACCAATTATACATAAAGAACGTAAATGCCACGTAGGTGGCCTACGAGTAATGTGTTTGCTGCTTACTTGAAAAGTCAGCGGCTGGGTTCCATCACCTGCTGCATGGAGAAAGAGGCAGTCTCTTCCTGTAGAAATTTACAGCCTCAGAAACTCTAGGGAGGTTTACCATGAGTCAGAACCACTGGACAGAAGTGGATTTGGTCTTAGGGTTAATTACCAAAGAAACTATTCGATAACACGTTATTCATTTTATAAAAGGCAGATAAAATCGTGACATGTGAGAGGGGAAAGGGCTCTATGTAAGAATTACCCAAAGCGCCAGAATCCGCATCAGAATCAACCATTTAAACAAACCTGCTAAATCTCACTCACAGCCACCATAGAAGGCAAACCTGTCCTTAAGAGTTCCCAAGCCTGCAGTCTGTAGAGAAGCTGCCTGCAGAGCTGCTGGGACGTCCTGAACCACCCTTCCATTAGCAGCCACCACGGCTTCTTGTGTCCCCCGTTCCCTTGCCCAGTGGGTCAGGACCAGCACCAGGAACCTCAGCCCGCGCCTACCGGCTGAACGCTCAGGTGCGGTTGTTGAAAGTCCAGTTGTAAGAAATTGCCAAAGAGAGGCAGTCTTGGGGGTCCAGGTGGATAGTTTTTTGGGCGCTGCCTATTAAAGAAATCAACAACAAACAGAAAGACGAAGGTGCCCAGCAGGAGAGTTTGGAGACGGAGCCCGGCCCAGAGGGTAGCAGCCAGGGAGCCCAGCGCCTCCAGCATGGCTGGAAACCGGTTGGTCGTCCGTGGTTCTGAGCGGGTTAAGGCCTTTGTTCCCGGCTCCCAGCGCAGTCACGCCTTGTCCCTTTCCCAGCACCGCCCTCCACCCAGAGCCTCACCTCTCTCCACTATGCTCCAGTCAGCGCGCTCTCTCTCTCTCCGCCCCGCCCCCCGTTCCTCCCTCTCTCCCTCCCTCCCTCTCTCTCAAATAAAATTTTATTTTTATTTTAACGGATATTTATGAAGAAGTTAGATTTTCATTCATTTATTGTTGAACATTTTACACACACACACACACACACACACACACACACACACACCCCTTAGATTGCTTGGCTCCACAGTAAACAGTCTTAGTAGCAGCAGCCAGGAAATCAAAAGACAATTGCACACACTTTTCTGCCTGCCCACCCCTCCCCGCCCAGTTCACTTTTCTCTTTGAAAAGAAAAAGAAGAATTCTTTCATTGTTATACAATTCCTCGCCCACCCCAGTCCACTTTACTATGCAGCTTTTATTCTGGACTCTTGCGATGTAAATACTATCAAAACATATATCCCTTTCAAACAGTTCTCTCTCATCTCTTTCAATGAAGTATACATTATTTATCCCCTCTTTTCTTAGTCTCCCCCCAAACCCAATGTCAGTCCTGTGTTATAACAGTGTCATCATGCAATATTTGTTCTTTTGTGACTGAGATATTTCACTTACATAATGTCCTCCATGGTCACCCATTTTGTATAATATTTCATGAGTTCCTTGTTTGTCACTGCTGCATGGTATTCCATTGTGTGAATATACCACAGCTTCTCTATCCATTCATTTATCGATGGACATTAGGGTTGTTTCCAACTCTTCGCTATTGCAAATTTCATTATAATACTACCCTTTGAAATCTCCTGTTCAGCTCCTTAATTCCTTGATTTCTTCCATTTCTTTGTATTTTCAGCACTCTAGTGCAATGTTCCGAGTCTCATCTGGCATTCATATCTGTCTTTTCTTCCTTGTTTGGTTTTGTAATGACCTTTTGCATTCTTCATGGATAATATTCTTGATACTATTCCCTTCCACAGTTCATCAGGCCTTTGCTCATTAGTGTTCCAGACCTCAAATCTGTTCTGGACATAGTTTTTTAATTCAGGTGGGATCAACTCAAGGTCAAATTTTGGTTCTTGTGGATTTGACTTTTTTTTTTTAGCTTCACTTTGAACTTGCATATGAGTAGTTGGTGGTCTGTCCTACAGTTAGCGCCTGGTCTAGTTTCCACAGCTGATATTGATATTCTCCAACAATTCTTTCCACAGATGTAATCAATCTGAGTCCTGTGAAGACCATTAGGTGAAGTCTGTCTATCTAGTTGCTGTTTATTTATAAAAGGTATTTGCAATGACTAAATCATTGTACAAAATTCTGTCATTTTATCTCCAGCCTCATTTCTGCCACCAAGCCTATGTTTTCTGACCACTGATCCCTTCTTCTCCAGTCTCAAACTTTTGTATTCCAGCCACTCATTATTATTAGTGCATCCTATTTGCATGTTTGATCAATTTCTGCCTGAAAAGTTGGTAGAAATCATCTGCTCCCTCCTCTTTGGCTCTGGTTGCTGGTGCATATATTTGAATAACTAGTGCTCCTTTGTGTGTATGGATATTATCCTGACATTCACAACATTGTATTTCAAGATTAATCTGGATATGTTGTTGTTGTTGTTGTTATGTGCCTTCGAGTCGTTTGC